TGAATCATTCTGTTATTCAATGAATTCAATGATTCTAAGGTACCCTAATGGAATAACCTCGGCAGGCAAACACCCCACAACTCGAAAATCTAGGGACTGTCCTAGAGGCAGAGTCTGTAGGGGCAAGTATTCAGACACCTGAAACAGCAGAGGGGGAAAAAAAAAAAAAAAAAACCAAAAAAAAAACCAGGCATTGGAACAGCCGATTCCTGCATGGATCCCGCGCCCTCTGCTGGAGCGCTGTGCTCATCCCAGCCCAGCCAGGGCGGAGGGAACGGGATACAGGTGTGCCATGGGAAGCCCAGAGCTGGGAACAGCAGGGGCCAGTTAGGAGGGAGACAGCTCAAGGGATGTAATGCAGTGTAAAGGCTGTTCATGAGGGAAAAAGGAAGCACTGCACAATAGGTGATGAGCGGGGGATCTTGCTCCTACAGGGTGCCAGAGCAGGATGGATGGTAAAAGGGATTTGGGGCTGTCTCAGCTCACTTCACAGCAAAGACTAGACCCCAAAATTTGGACACTACAGCAGAGTGGAATTTGGAATGTCAGGTTTACTAAAAATTTCATCAGAAATCTCTGTCATGCCTGAGAATGGTGCCAATCTTTTCTCCAAGCACAGGTCAAACCAGTGGTATGGATGAAGGGCACTGCCTGCACAGCTCAGGGAGGGCTCCACTTCCACCTGTGCTGCTCAACTCACGGCAGCCACTTTCCCAGGAAGTTCCATGGTCTCCTCTGACGTCCCAACAACAACATTGTGCAGCAGATGTAAGGCAAGCTATCCTTGCAAACTTCTCCAGGCCTCTGGCTTCAGGGATACTCAGAGGAGGAGCAGATCAGCAGGTGCTGGAATTGCCATCCCCACTCTGGGGATGCACAGGGCAAAGGCAGCACTGAGACTCACTTTGCAGCACAGTGTATTTGTAACTCTGACACCTGCTGCTGCCTCCAGTCTGGAACTGCAGCTTGCTCAGGGGTGCATGGTATGGATAAAAAGTCCTGGGAGCTTTCTTCCCTCCTTCTGTGATGTCCAGGTTTGATTCCTACTTGGACATGTAAAGGGAAGTCAGAACTGTATTGGGTGTGCAGAGCAACCAGAAGACACAAAGTGAGCAGCTGCAGGAGGAAAACAGCACCTGGTTGATTTGGAAGAACCTACAGCTACACATCCCTATATAACAAGTTTAGGATAGGAAATGACTTTCTGAAACACAGTATCAGAACATACTGGAAAGGGTGAATTTTTCTAATAATAAACAAGGAAATGATTCCCCTATGGCTATGCAAATCACTGCTCAGGAACTGGCCTGTGCTACGGGGAGCTGTTAATGGGCATAAAATCGATACCCAGGCAGTTTGTCTGCTCCACTCAAAGGCAAGCACAGCAGCCACACTGGCTTGGATTGGTCTGGGGTATGGAATGTCATTTCCCCCTTGGGAAAGAGAGTGTGCTGTTCAGACCCGATGGTGTCACCAAGAGCCTCAACACTTCACAGAAATTTGGCCAGGTCACAAAGAGAAATAAACACAGGGTTGTCACATTTCTCTGGTGAGAACTTCACCTCTTCCTTAATTCATGAGCTTCAGACTCTCACTCTTGTGACTGCTTGCTCCTTTTCCAGGAGTGGATGTCTGCTGCCTGCAATAAATTTAAAAATTAAGGATGAACTGTACACAGTGCAGCCAATGTCCACCAAGCTATGGTTCAAAACTCTTTAAGGGTCTGTGGACATATTTTAAGAAGTCCATAAAGGTCACTAAGAAAACATAATCGGTTGTCAGCAAGCTGGTATTTACTGTTCTGCTATTCTCATCCCTAGCAACAGTATTTCGAGTATCTGCAAATAAAAGACTGGGAAACAGTTCTTTTACTCCATCAGAGCTTGGGAAAGGTCAGATCTAGATCTCTCCAAAGGGTCAAAGCTATATAACACCAGTTAATGCCATTTACTGTAGAAGCTGAAGTGATTTGTGTCTAGACATAAGTTTGCTGTTTCTGCCAATCTTCTGCATGAATATTAGTCTGAAGAACGACCACAAGCAGAAGCTCACTGTTTCCCATTTTTAACCATGCCAGGGTTTTCTCTTTTGATCCCATGACTGGACATTTCCCTCTAAAACCTTCTTACCTAACCAAAGAGACTCACCATTACCACTGTGCTTGTTTATCATGCCAAAGAAATCAGCGTCCTAAAGCAAAACCTTCCTTAGCAGAAATTATGGGGACTTTTATGAAGGACATTTTTTGTATTTATCAGGCATTCATTGATTCAATTCCTTGTTATACAATTAATTGCCCTCCTAGAGAAGTTAAATTTACCAGACCGCAGTATCTCAGATACACGTGTGGAAAATGTTTTAAAGAAGGTTACCACCTTTGCTACTCTGCAGACTTTAGGCAACAACGGAGGATTAAGTGAATGAAGTGCCTTAAGTAATTTCACTATTTCCCTTGAAAGTCATGAGTGAATATCAGTTCTGATGATCTGTCAGCAATTCAATCTGTCTGCAACACAGTTTCTGCCACAGTTATTTAATAGAAGAGATATTACTCTGTCTTTGATTTCATTTCTTCTAATTCAATGACTCTCCAAATTGTATACTCTCCTGGGATTGCTAATTCACTTCTAGGAAAATCATTTTAACAGACCAATTACGACAGCAAATACAAATGCTGTACTCAAAATTAATACATTTATAGTCCTCCCTGCTGCTCCTTCTTCCTGGCATTTTTTTATACCTGCATTGCCACAAATGCAGTTTAATACTCTGTGGACCTTATGGCAGATGCAGCTCAACTGGTCAGCCTTGCACAGCTTATGCCTTCATAATTCACCCTCTAAAGACCTTCTCCCAAACTTACCCTAAGCCTGATTGGTTAAAAAAAACACCTCTCTATCTTATCTGCAGTAAGTCAGACTGAAGAGGGTGTCACAGAATTTAACACCATGCAAGGGACTGTGAAAATGTAGGAGGACAGACTCCTGGGGCTCACAGATACAGCTCTGGAGTGCTCTCACCTTTTGCTGGGGCTCCCTAAATCCCAGGTTTCAGAAGGAAGCCATGAAATGAGTATTTACAAGAGTGGAGGTCAGGGCTGTGCTTGCAGCCTGGCCAGAAATGCCTTTATCTCCATCACCCATTTACAGTTCTGATGAGTGACCACCTGCAGCAGCCTGAGGCAGGTGAGATGACCACTCCTCCCTTCAGGTCTTTGCTACCTGCTAGATAAAAAAGACATTTTCATAGGAATTTTTTTTTTAATAGAAGCATTTTGAGTTTTACTCAGTGAATACAAAAGGGAGAGAGGTGGTGGTGATAGGGAGATAAAGGGGTTTGCATCATTGTAACCCAAACCTGATTAATTTTTGGGGGGTGAAAAGATGGTTTATGTGGTATTGCCTGGACATTATACATCCACCTGTCAAATGTTTTGGCAGTTGTAAGCAATCTCAATTCTACATGTGTTGCTACAGGTTTGGAGCACTGCTGCTGCAGGCTTGCAGTGATGGGGTCTGTAATGGTGGGATCCAAAACAGCTCCTCAGTGGCATTTGTGCCACTCTCTTTAAAGCAGTGTGGTTTGGGACACCAACTTCCCTCAAGAAGGGGAGTCAAGAATCATCTGGGCTGCATGAAGAAGGGAAAGAGATGAAGTAAAGTAAGCAAGTGTGGCTTACTGAGAGAACAGAAGACTGTAAAACAAACAAAAGATGTGGATTAAATGTGCAAATGTGTCCAGGGCTCAAGGACTGAGGCAGAGAGGGCTTTGGGTGAGTGGCAGGAAGCAGACAAGCACATGTACTCACCAGGAACAATGCTGCCACAGTGGCAGGGGAGAAGAAAAAAGAAAACAAATGTGAGTGGGAGCCATTGCCCTTCAGCAAGACACAGAGCCCTGCACCCAGTGGGAAAACAAGGCTTTTTCCTTGACTGTTGTCTCCTTGCCCTCTTCCAGCATGACTGTGAGGCAGACACAGGGATAAATGCCATGTACATGGGTTTACCTTTGTGACTTCTGAGTCCAGAAGCAAGCAAAAGCTGAGTGAGGAGTAACTTGGAGATTGCCATTGAGCATTCCCACATGCAGTGCCCAGGATGGAGCAGGACAGATCTCACTGAGGTGGTAACATTCTGCAGAGTCCCCAAGCCCCCAAGCTGGCTCCGTTTCATCTTGGTATCCAACCAGACAGAATCTGTGATTTGGAAAAGCACCTTCATCAACACCTTTCCTTGAGCAAGGGCTGGAATGAACAGACACATCCCTCACCAGCACCACACTCATCTCCAGCCAGGAGATCACTTCAACCTGATGGCAGGCAGAGCTGTCACAGCACAGAGGGAGCATCTCTGCAGGACCAGCAGGGGGAAATGCCAAATTATCTTCACATCTTTCCCTGTGACAGGAGTTCAGTGCAGCACTGCAGCATTCACCTCTGAGGAAGGCTGCAAGGGCACATGGACTGTCCTAAAAAAGCTGCAAAGCCATATTAACTCCACATCAAACATTTCATACAAACACAGAAAAGTCCAAGAGGGCAACCAGCCATTTTGACATAAAAAAACCCCACACAACACTTTAAAAAATACTGATTTTATTCATGTCTAGCCTATTCAACAGTGGATCACACTGGTAGGAACAACCACAAATATCGAGTTACAAGGTTTCACCAGGTTCTCGCCTGTGCAATGCTGGATTTGAGTCAAGCACATATTATGGCACCAGCACTAATGACAATGATTGCTGTTCAAAGCTCACTTGAGTCCCATCTCCCTGGTGCACTTCCAAGCCCAATAACCTCATCTCCCACTGTGCAGAGAATTTATGTTCTCAAAGCCTGAATGCAACAAACATCCTGGAACACCTACTCCAGAAAAAAATTCCCTATGCCTCACATTCTTTATTTGAGAGGCTTCACGTTTTCAGTGAAACAAACAAACAAACAAAAAAATCCCCCACCATCAACAATTTCTCAGAAATGCTGGACCTGACATGAATAAATCAGCTCACCACATGATCCGGCCTGCAAATTCCAGCTGTTTTCCTTGGAATGATGCATCAGAGCAAGGTTTCACACCAAAAGCAAAGCAGCCCTGTCAATATCATCCCTGCTGATGGTGTGGGCACACAGCATGGCCCAAGGTTTCTGCCCCATGGATTTCCCCAGGATATTCACACTTTTCCAAAGATAGCCTGTACCTACACTGACTCTGAAGACAACTGCCCTTGCAAGAAGGGTCCATGGCAGCTCTGGTCACTCATGGTCAGCCACCTGGCCTCGACACACAGATCAGGATAAAAGGGCTCAGAGGATTCCCACAGCTGGCCTGCCCCGAGAGACAGAGCAGGTCCCTTGGGATTGTGGAATGTGTTTTGCCTCCCAAGGACTGCAGGCTCACATCCGTGTCCAGGACTACTCAGAAGAGCTGCACCAGAAGCAGCCTCCCTCTGGCAGCTCAGGGTTTCTCTAAGCCCAGTCCTACAAGCCTGTGGAAGCCACAGGTAGTCAGGAAGCTCCTCAGAGATCCAGACCCTCAGCCAGCAGCCACAAGGAGGTATTGCAGTCCCAGAGCTGCCAAATCAGAGTTGCCTCCTACCTCTTTTCCCCCACACGCTGACACTGAAAACTGCCAGACAGGCTAAAAGTCACTCAGGAAGATGTACAGGGTGTTACTGATAAAGAGTTCTCGGATAGTTGGATGCCCAGCATCCATCAAACGATCTTCTGAAAGTCCCAACTCTCACATTTAACTCCATTCTTCCTCTCAGGCTCTCCCCTTCTAGAATCAATCCTTCCTACCCGCCCTCCCACTCTCCTGTGCAGAGAGCTGGCAACACACACAGGCTGGATCCACACGTGGTCACGGAAATTTGGCTGCATGGCTGACCTTTGCTGCTGCCAAAGGGAGGGAATTCCAGACCAGAGCACCTCACTCTGCCCTTCACTTTTCAGAGCTAATTGGGTTTTTCTATCACTTTCAGCATGGCACAGCATGGACTTGTGGAGCTTGAAAAGCAGAAGAGGTTTTTATCACAATGGTACAGCGGGAGAAGACTTCAGAGCATTTTCTGGGAGCACTGTGTACAATTATATTACAATTGCAGAATTGTCTGGCTCTTGTGTCTCCTAAGTCACACAATAGACTACAAACTGTGCTATTTCAGTGAAATTCTCTATGACCACTGAGAATAAGCCACTAACTCTGTTAGAGCAGGCATGGACTCACGTGTTCACAACTGACTGTACAGATGCTAAAGCCAGATGCTTTGCAGGTAAATGAGAAACACCTCTGGTTTGTGCCCATCCCTCAGGTAGCAGATATTTTGCATGAACAGGATGATTACTACTTGTAGAGCTATATGAAACATCTACCTTTTTATCTGAGTTATGAAAGCACAGCTTTGAAAAGCCCAGTAATCCAAGGCCAAGAAGACAGGCAGACAAACGGACAGACTTCAGCCACTTGTTTGATTTTCTTAGAGAGAGCTCCTTGCTCTTTTAAGGGCTGACCTTATGCATTTGCCAGGTCTGGATGCTCCACTTGAAAAAAAGGCTTGAATGGAAGTTTCAACAGCAGGCTCTTCTGGAGGTGTCGTGTGTCAATCTCCAGCTTCCCACAGGACTCGGTGCTTGTCTGGGGCTTTTGAGGAACAGCTCATAAATCGCTGCTATTTGGCCACTGGCAGTGGAATCCTGCTTTATTTAGTTTTCCCAGAAACAAGAGGCATTGGAATCTTGTAGGGGATTCTCCCTGCTTCCTTCCTCCAGTCCCTGTTCACATTTAGTTTCAATTTCCTGGAACTAAGAGTGTTGACCTCTTTAAAAGCAACAGCAACAAGGAAACCACAGAGCAAGGAAAACAGTCTCCTGACCAAAAAGGCTGTACCCCCTGCACAGAGAGAAACTTCACCAACTCTACAGGAAAAAGATTCAAAAGCCTCTTTTGCAGTGTCCTGACACGGCAGCCTTGAAGCATTCACAATCCAGCCTGGCAAGGAAAAAAAAGTATTGTGTTAAAAAAAATATACAAGAAAAAGATGTTATTCTACACAGATCACAGTAAAGCCACAACAACCTAAGGGTGCATTTCATCCAGAGAATATTTGAAGGGACTGAATTTGAAATCTGTTGTCAATTGCAGCTGGCTAAAATGGAAAATTTTATTACATTTCTTTGCTTATCTTGATGCCTACTGGGATTGGCTTTGGGGCCAATTTTTCTTTGCAGCTCCTGGGAATTACACACCTGTCTTCTTGCATGAGATGAAATATGTTTATTAGATGGTTGCAAAGTTTGTTAGGATGCATTGCAATGTCGTACTCTTCAAGGACAGAGACACAAGGTCTTAATTCTTACTGTAACTGGGACTTTTGGAATTCCCAGAGCCATTTTCATGGCATCTAATTTTAGGTCCTTTAAAGACAGATCTGTAATGACAATTTGGCTTATAGCCCCTCCCTCTGTGCCAGAGGCAGGAAAATTTATCAAACCAAATAAGGAAATTAAAAATTTGTATTTTATTTTTAAATTAGATCTGAAACAATTTATGAGACAGCAGAACAAAAGAAGTTGGATCGGCAAGATTTAGGGACTTCACCATTGTCACACTTTTGTGTAGACCATTCCAGCTGCATCTGTGCTGGTGACTCATGAAACCTAAAGGGCTCTTAATAAGTTATTAAAAGTATCAGCAGTCTTCCACAACAAAAGAAGGAGAAAGAAAACATGACTGGAATAAATGAAGAACTGCAGCCCACAGAAAAGGCTTGCACTGGAGAAGTTCCTGGAGGACTGATTCCCATGGGAGGGACCCCACACTGGACCAGAGGAAGAGTGTGAGGAGTCTTTAATGATATTTTCCCTGTGGAGCTGAGGATGGAGAGTGGGGGCCTTGGGGGGCACCTGGCACCCAGCCAGGGTTAACCCACCACAGGTACATGGATAGGATATGATCTTAAATCCAACATTTCGGGACTCCCGAGTGCTAAACAAAACTCTCAGGTCCAGACTTAATTGGAACAGGGTTAGTAATGAGCTTAAAGAAGTTCAGCTTGTGCCTGCCGAAATGCTGAGCAGCTCAAGCCTTGCACTGCAAGGGGTTTGCACTGTTTATGTTTCTACACAGCATTTTCTAGCACAGTTCCCTTTCCCACTCAGTGCAGGGGTTTGAAAGCAGCTTATTCCACTATGAAAATCATACACTTTCCAGTCCTCGAGCTCCTACAGCTCCTGCTACTGCTTGGCAATGACTCAAGTAGCCAGAAAAAGAAAAAGAACAGGCTGTAAAAAGTGTGGCAGTGAGAAAGCCCTGGGTCACAGGGTTGTTTGTCACATTGCCAAAGCCCAAAGGAGGAGAAAGAAGTGGGAGGGATATCAGAGGTGGGAGAAGCCTACGAAGTGAACAAGATTTGTCAAGAGCTCTGCCTAGGTTCTGAAAGGAGAAAATGTCAGCAGCACAAAAAATATATAAAGATGCATCCAAATATAAATATAAATATAAATATAAATATAAATATAAATATAAATATAAATATAAATATAAATATAAATATAAATATAAATATATATGTAAATATGTAAATATTGACCAACACATTTGTATCTGCTCTTCAAAAAGTTTTCTAAGACAAATAAAAGCCAGGTCTACCAACAAGATGCACAACTTGCTTGCTTTGAGTTGACCACAGTTGTGAGCAATCTCTGCTTTCCAGGCTAAATATGTGCTGATCTTCAAAACAAAATTCCCTCAGCGAGTTTTCTTTCATGCCAAGTTTTTTCCCGTGGATTTATATGTTGGAGAAGAGACTTTTCACTCCAGGGATTACAGAGGATGAACAAATTGAGATGCTGAGGCCAGCTCACAGTTTTCGAGAGATGCAGAGCATCAATAATTGAATCCTTGTGATTGTTTGGAGCTCGGTAAGGCAGAGACCCCATCAGACAATTCAGAGGCAGAAAAATATATCTGCAGCAGCTGCATGAATTGAACCTATCCAAATTCCTGAATTTCCCAGCAGAGTGAGCAATCACAGTGGTGGTTTGGTCTGATTCTAGTTTTACTTTTACACTTGGGAGTATGACATGGATTTTCCCTACACGTAGTAGAGATGTTCCACTGGGAAAGAGGAGAGGATGAGACTCTAAATAGTCAATATTTGATGTCTAGGATCTCCTTTTATCCATTGTGTATATTAAAAATCAAAAAATGTTTAGAAATTGTAAAACATACTTCTTTCTGACCTGCAGGGAGAAGATTGCTGCTCCTTTATGGTTTGTAAATTCATTTAGGAAAACTCTCTGCAGCAAACGTGACTCCTCTTGAAATGCTGCATGTTTAAGGTGTGTAATGTTACTTCCCTGTCCAAAGCAATGGTTGTGCAAAAGAAATGGTCCCAGTAAATAAAAAGGTAATAAATTTTATAAACAGGTTTCTGAGTTTAGCATGAAAAATTTTCTTGAATTACCTGTAAATTGAAAATCCCAAATCCAAACTTCTCTGGACAACCTTTCATCAGGTGTTCTAAAACAAAGCGTCTGCAGGGATCAAGCACTGCAGCCTTAAGCAGATCTCTGCAAACAGCTTGGAAAGTATAACTGAGCTGTTTTATTCAGTTACAGCAGAACAAACAATCATTCAACACTGCAAATATTGGGAAAAACCCAACCAGTGGTGGCCAGCAAACCTCACATTCTAAATCTGTCCACTAAGCCAGGGTTTAGCCAGCACAGCAGAGAGAGACTGGCATGAAACCATCCTATATCCAAATTTATGACAGTGCTGAAAAGCACCATCAAAACAATGATTACTTTCACTCACACAGAGAAAGCAACAGGAAAGGTTTGGACTGGGCCAGAAGAGTGGCAGGTGGACCAAAGAAGATTTTTCTATCTCTGTAACTCTATAAATACAAAAGCAATAAAGCACATTAAAGGAATGTGCATGAAGGCGAATGTGAAGCATAAGAGAAACAAAATACCAAAGTACTCCTTGCCTATGACTTACTCATTACTCAGTTATTGCTTAGTTACTTTTAAATACTATTTAAAGTACAAAACTAAACCAAGAATTTCCCACATGGTGAATGACATTGGATGCTCAGCTTGAAGTCTAAAGGGGCTGAGTTCCAGAAAGCAGAATGCAGGTCTTGTACAGAAACAAAACCCACTACACTGCTATCATTTTCTACAAGGTGGGTCTCATTTATGTGTAAATAGTTGCTGGGGGTCAATTTTGGACACCCATTTCTCTACCTTTCATTGTCCTTAATTTTGAGAGCCTGATACTGATGCCTCGATTCATAATAAATAATTCAACACTCCTCAGTGAAGTTTTCTGAGACCAGAGACATGAAAAATTGGACTGTGCTCTGGAATGGGATCTAAACTCACCTGGGCAGCTTTTCAACCCCATTTCAGACACGTTCTACATTTATGAATTGAAAACATGGAATAACATTCATGTTTAAAACCAAACTGCTGCCTCCTGCTACCATGCAAGGTCTTGGAATCCCCCTCAATGGTGAGAGATGCAATCCCATTCAGACTATACATGCAAGGAAGAAGATCTACAGACAGAAGCAACTTCTAGCGAGTTAACTGAGAATAATTTCAGGCTTTGAATGTCCCTGAATATGGCAAAAATGTAGGGAAAGTTACTTCAAGTGGATGTAACTCCACTGAAGCAAATTTTACTCACTTTCATTAGGACAGACCCCTGTGGCAGGCAGGCTATCACACTGTGCAGAGGTAAGGGAGAGGTGATTAAACAGACCAGCTCCAATGTGTTTATAGTGCTCATCTTAAAGCAGAGAAGCAGAAAAGAGCAGCAGGATCGTGAAGTGAGCAGCTCTGTTCCTAACGAGAGGATGAACTCCTTCCAGTGTTTCTCTGTAGCAAAGGACACAACAAATCAGCTGGCATTACTAAGTGGAAAGATCCAGCACAGCCTCATGTGAGATTGGTTGTTTTAGTTTAACTGAGCAAATCAAAATACTCAAGGAAATTCCCAACACTGCAGCATCCTTCCTCAAATTAAACCCCCAGTTTAACCCCACACAGTGCTGGCCATATGCAGCTCACACTTCTCTCCCTGGGAGCCATCTGGGATTCCCTTGAGGAATCCTGACTTTCCAGCACATGTTGTGTTTCATTCTGACATTAAAAGGACATTGTTGGGTTTAATGACATTGTGCAAAGACTATACTGACTTGCTCCAGAAAATGCACCATGTGGCAGGTCCCACATCCATTCCCTAAATCCAACCCAAGGCTAAGTGCTTGTCTTCAGCTGCCACCAAAGCAGCTCCTTCAAAGCTAACTCTGGAGACAAAAAAACACAGAAAATCTCGGATTTCTCTACATAAAAGGAAATGGATTAATAAACGCTGAGGCAGACAGTGCTGTCCATGAGAGCAGAGCCTCGTGGCTAGGCTGGTTTTGGCTGGGACAGAACTAATTTCCTTCACAGGGGCTGCATTTTGGGTTTGTGCTGAACACGGGGCTGATAATTCAGGGATGGTTTTGGTTGTGCTGGACACAGACCAAATTGGTTTTCCTACTGCCACACTGGCAGGGGGCTGGGGCTGCATGGCAGGAGACACAGCTGGGACAGGAGACCCCAAGTGACCAAAGGGACATTCCAGACCTTACAGCATCACCATCAGTGTATAAATGGGGGGAAGAAGATGGAAAGGGATGGATGTTCAGGGTGATGGTTTTTGCCTTCCCATGCCACCCTTAAGTGTGATGGGACCCTGCTCTCCTGAAGAGGGCTGAGCCTTGGCAAGCAGGGAATTAATTCCTTTTTTATACCAACCCAGGGGTTATCCAGGTTTTACCCTTCCCATTCTTTCCCGTATCCTGCTGATGGGAGCGAGGGAGCACCCGTGCAGGTGTCCCTTGTCTCATTCCTCGCTGGCCCACAGGATGGCACTGCGACATCCCACAAACTCCTCCTGGGCTCTCGGGGCCGCTTCCTGATGGCAACAAA